CTTATGAGTAGTGCATTACTATTGTGACGTTTCGCGTAGTGAAGGCTATCGACTTCTTCACTCTTTAGTGGCTGCCCTGCTAGTTCCCTTTCTTGATTTGTCTGGCCGAATTCCTGCCATTGGACGAGATATCACATTTCGGATTGTCACAACTAGAGCAAAATTTTCCCGACCTCATCAAGTTCGTGATATCTTTCTTCAAAACTTGACATGAATATAACTGTGTCAGTTTGTGGACAAGCTCGTAGGTTCCAACATCTACAGTCCCTTGGAGCGACGTGTTTCGCACCCTGCTATCAGAGCTGGCTCTGTTGTGGAAAGATTTCCACATCGAGATGTTGCTGGAATATTGTTCTTCTGTAACAGGAAAAATCTTCCACCCCCTTCGCTCCTAGCGGTTTTCGTTCTCTTCTCGACTGATCCATATAGGAGCATATAGTACACTTCCAAACAGGATATTTAGAAGCAATGGGTTAATCGAACTGAGGACATCAGATCTGTCAAAAGTCACCTGGAGTAAAGAGGACAGTCGCTACCAGTTACTCTTGTTAAGCATTTCTAATTTTTTTTAATATATCAGGAAACATTATTCAATAGTGCTTGAGCAATCTTATTTAGTTTTCCTTCAAACGGGTTACAAATCGGAACAGAAAAATATTGAGATTTGATTTGAATGAAAGCTACACCACTTCAAGATGGCACAAATGGTTAGAGCGCGAATTTACTGACCGCAAAGTCCGTGGTTCGAACCCAACCTCTGCCTCTCGACTTCCCCTGTCTAGGCTTGGGCAACCTGGCAGTATCCCAGCCCTCGTGTTTCCTTCGGGTAGCATGGCAGCTAGGAACCGGAAGGGTGTTACAGCTGAACAATTTTTTTACACCATTTCAACAATAAGACAACTTCATGTGATCTCGGCTATGCGACTAGGCAAAATGCGTGGATGAAAAGGCACTTCTTTGTGTTGTAGACTAATGTATGAAATCTCTTCTGTTGAACAACCGCAATACACATTCTGATGTGCAATAAACCCACAAACAGCCTTCGTCTTCCACGGCTTTACACGATTTGTAAACTGTCTCTGGGATACAATTATCAGTTGAAGCTATCTCAAACTTCATACTCACTCCGTGAATGAGTGTAATCATATTACTTTGAATACAGAGATGTTAGCTCTCCACTAACTTTCAGCTTAATATGATGCTGGGCTGGAGGTTCAATAGAACCTCTCACTTATAGTATTCAAGCGAAGAGGCTGCACGACTGTGCCGCATGTCTTAGTTGGAGGGCTACTTGAGATGAAGCATATTTCTTGGCATGCCACAACTTGTATTTTTCTTCGGTGAAGATTAGGTGTCATTTTGTAGCACATTGGAGTGCGCTCAACTAAGTAGACAGTAGATGATACCAGTATTTGTATACTGACTCGGGAACTGTTTCGGCTGTTTGGTAATTTTTATGAATACATCACTGCACATAACAGTCCCTTCAGGATAGAAACAGAGGGATACGAAAATCATTGGCGATTTGTCAGGGATGCTATGTACGCATGAAGAGAGAAGCATAAATCGGTAATCCATTACGGTGTTATCAATCGAGAAAGGCGAATTTATGCTGAAAAAACGAAGGGTATTGTACATCTTCATCCTTATTGGTAGTCATCAGTCCGCATTTCACGAAACTCCAGGGATTTAGGAACCCGTGATCTCTCAGCTAGTGGTTGAACACACTTGGCCACGAGCGGCTGGTCAGTACTCTGAATGACTCGCACTTAGACAGGATACAGTGTCACGTTATATTGGTTTGCGTTTCGGTTTGGACGGTCATTCTTATGACTGAACGGCCACGTTGATCTAATTCGACTGACCGCAACAGATCGCTCATCTCACGCGTTTCGTTATCCTCATAATGTGTACTTGAAAGGCAAAGCAACGCTTTGCCATGAAAGTCACCGATCATTCTTCGAGTCATCATCTTTCTGTACTTGACTACAGCTGTATAGTACTTGGTGTGGATACGGTGAGGGGTATTAGCTATCTAACTCCTTTTCTTGCACCCCACGCACAATAGATTGTATTGGCTTACCCTGGCTTGGACAGTTCCAGCATCTGGCCCCTGTGGAAGATTTCGCCGGTGTGCAATTGTACGATGATCGTGAGGGGAGCTCACCCTTTCCTGTTCTCGTCCCGGATCGCCTGAGCTATGGGACATGTGAGTTATTCGTCCGTTTTTTGCTACTTTGTCAGATAACCAAAGCAGCCCATTTCTTTATGAATGTTCTACCCAAACATAACCACCGTAGCAGTGGACAGCTGACTCCTGCTTACTGGTGCTCATCAGAACTGTGTGCATTTGGGCTTAAGTCACTTAATGATAATGTTGCGACTACCATGGCGTGGTTCTTCGATCTACGCGAAGTTATTTGCATTTGTTTGGTCAGCATTTTTTTGTTTCGCCACAGTCAAAGATGGGCACTTGTATGTTAGAGCGCCCAGCTTGACTTGCCTATCACATGGGATAGCAACTGAGCACACTAGATGTGTGCTTACACATGTACACTGGACATTTAGCGACACATCGCAACTTATTATGGACGTCTTTGCATGGATACGGTCCATGTGTGCTCTGTGAGAGAGGTAATCCATTTGGACAGCTGGTCATCGAATAGTCTTTTTAATTGTAGCTTCCAGAGAGGATATTAAACCATGTGAAATGACGGCAATTTGTGGGAGGGACTTTATTACCACAAAAGTCACCACAGTACTGTTATTCAAAAGCTACTCAACTGTTTTGGTTTTATCTGACCCCCTTCCAGTGTGACTGGCTATGTTGCCATGGGCTCTCTTAGGTCAGGGCACAAGCTTCTGATGGGAAGTGCTTGGTACGAATCTGCCCTTGACTTCTCGATCGTCCTTGCCCAAGTATGGATATCCACCTTGTAGTATCTTAGCTCTTGCGCTTCATTCTGATATGGCAGAGGAGATGTCACGACTGGGTATTCTGTTTTGCCTTGCATTCATTATTCCCCCGTGATCCTGAAATGCCTCAGTGTTTGGGGTGCGAACTTACTGACAAGGTCGGCGGTTCGAATCCAACATTGGCATCCCGGCAGCTCCCGTGTAGGCTTGGATATGTTGGCACTATCTCAACCACTGTGCTTTCTTCGCATGGTATGGCAGCTATGCACCAAACTGGTGTTACAGTTGAGTGATAATTTTTTTCATTTTCGTGTGTACACTCGACCGTCCTTGCAACTCTTTTATTGATAAAAATCTTGCCCCCCCCCCTCAGTGTCCGATTCCAATGTGGGGCAAAACCGTGCTGCACCTGCCGGGAGTGAACCGTTCCGTTACGTTTCTTGGGTCTCACCCACGTCTTTACTCAGCGAGGTGAACAAGGTACTCCGACTGGGACGTCGACTGCCAGAGAAATCCGCTCTTTTCTTCAAGGTAATTGTTTAAGCATCAACAACTAAATTTCAAATCAGCAGCAGCTAGTATTACCCATAGGGCAGAGGCGTGTATACCACTACTTCTGCCTTGTACTTTTCTGTCTACTTTAGCCACTAGTGGAGTGACTCAACACCAGGGCACAGGGATAACCATACAAAATTGTCTTTGGAAGTAATCCCACTGGGGAGATCGCCACTTTTAAGCCTCTTTTAGGGCGGTCCATGTTCGGGGGAGTTTGTGCATTAGGTTGTGGCTGGGCATCAACCTATCACGGACTCTCCAGAAGAAGGGATCTTACGGGTGGACTGTTGTATCGAGCATAGATGAACCCTTCGATCCTTTCGTGAGGATGACCCTGCGTGTATTGTATNTTCGATCCTTTCGTGAGGATGACCCTGCGGGTATTGTATTGTTCGTGCTGTTGTTCCGTTGCACTTCTTGTCGCGTGTACGCAATAAGCGTGTTCGTAGGCGATCATATGATGTTTGGCGTTGCTACAGTGGCCGCTAAGGCTCAACGGTTTAAAAGTATTGGAACATGTAGTGCGCATGCTCCTTCATGGTCCTTCAGGCCGTTCGGAACAGATGGTTTTGGGTTGTTTGGTGGAACCGCCTGCCTACGCCAGTTAAAAATGTATTGGGTATCTTATTTTGTTCATAGCCACACCACTCTCGTTTGAACGGCCGTGTTCCTGTTCTGGCGTAATTATTCCGGTGAGTCCACACCAAAGAAAAGCACTGGACTCGAGTTTCGCCCTTATTAGAGCTCATCAGCAGTGCATATCCAAAGACCGTGTCGGGATTTGAACCCCGGACATCCGACATGCGAGGCGAGCGTGTAATCACTACTCCAGCAAAGCATGTTGGACGCATATGAATTTTCACGTCTGAACAGACGAACGTGTTCACACTTCAGCAATGTGATGGTGTGCCCGACTCATCGAACGACGACCCAGTAACTGTCCTGGTTGTGACGTCGACTGACCCGCCAGTCAGGACTCCCCAGTCAGGTAGGCTGGCACACGCTTGAAACCCACTGCGTAACATTTTGGTTGCAGTTTTGGGGTTTTGTGGGATAGGTATTTTGTTCATAGGATCCTTGGTTCACAGGATCTAAGGCTACCCTCAAGCAAGAAGTTTTTCACGAAATACATTTCTCCCACAATGAAGAAGGTATATCATGCTGGTCGTTGCTCCTCGGCGCATGCTACGGAAAACCCGTTAGGTCAAGCTCAATCGGATGCCGTTCGGGTCCATTTGGATGCCATGAATCGAATGCTATCCGAAGTAGCTGCTCAGCTAGATGATTGATGTTTGTACCGAACAGCAAAAAAACTGTCTCAGCACGTTGTGTCGCATTGTTTCCACTATCAATGNCGGTTTAAAAGTATTGGAACATGTAGTGCACACACTCCTCCATCGTCTTTCAGGCCGTTCTGGACAGATGGTTTTGGGTTGTTTGGTGGAACCGCCCGCCCACGCCAGTTAAAAATGTATTGGGTATCCTATTTTGACTCGCTTTTTGTTTGCAACCTCCGCATGTCACAGCTTTTGTAGCAACAGAACACAGAGGGTCTCCCTCATTCTCCTTGAATTTTCACGTCCTTGCTGATCATTACTCACAACTATACCCCTTTATCACAGGAACTCGCCCGCCTTCGTTCGGCCGCTCTGGCCTACGGATGCCCCGAATTACTCGTACACGTCGCCCATCTCACTGAGTCGGCGCATGCTACGGAAAACCCGTTAGGTCAAGCTCAATCGGATGCCGTTCGGGTCCATTTGGATGCCATGAATCGAATGCTATCCGAAGCAGCTGCTCAGCTCGATGATTGATATTTGTACCGAACAGCAAAAAAAACTATCTCAGCACGTCGTGTTGCATTGTTTTCACTATCAATGGAGCCTTCGTTCTCAGCGGCTATCTGTCAGAAGAGCGGTTTGTTGGAGTTCATGCTGCATCTGTCCGTTTTAACCTGTTGCACTCAAGCCGCGTTCATTGCACGCTGATTTCGCGACTGAAGGGCATAAAGATAGGAGTATAGCGCTACAAACTGCACTGTTCTATTGTATGCACAGCGAGTCCGAAGTATCCGATCCTTGTTTTTCTTTAGATTGTGAGTCCCAGAATCCCTGATGACGATTCTTCTGCTCCCTGAATTCTGTTGGTGGTCATAGAGCCCTGTTTGGGTGTTTCTAACCGCTCTGACTTGGTTACATTAGGTATGATGATAGTCGCCAGCGTGACCGTAATTTTTTTTTACTATTGTCACCCTATTTTACTGCCAGGTTGTGTTCCAGCGTTTCACGCAAATTACTGAGACAGTGCCGGGGTTCAAATCCCGGCACGGCCATTGGATATGCACTGCTGATGAGCTCTGATAAGAGCGAAACTCGAGTTCGGTGCTTCCCTTTGGTGTGGACTCACCGGAATAATTACGCCAGAACAGGAACACGGCCGTTCAAACGAGAGTGGTGTGGCTATGAGTAAAATACCTATCCCGCAAAACCCCTGAAATGCAACTTATTAAAATCATTTTGCACAACTCAATCACTGTTTGATCGTTTCTATGTGGTGCCTGTATTTACTAGCTTTGTGTTGACGTCCACTTTTACCGACGGACGATGATTTGTTGACATGGATCACCAATTGATTCTAACAGCCCTGCGGTCAGGTCTCCTTAGATGTCAAAATGTTTGCTTCCGCTGTTGGTACGAAGAGATTTGGTGATCTCGTCCTGTAAGTGAAGCCAATCTATGGTGGAAAGCCGAGGGATGTTGTACAGGTGTTACATCCATATGGGGAATCATCGTCCTCATGGATAGCCATACCACTTTGGGAAAGTTCTCTGAGAACAGTTTACACTTTCGTCGCTGTTTTGCTCAGAATGACTTTATCGTACCGGAGGATGACGTGTCAGTCGTAACTGCCAAACAAGTCAGGTTAATGTAAATTTATTTAATGACTATGATGGCGAAAGTCAGCGGCTCTGTTTAGGAGTAACGGAGACAAATAAGAAACCCTCTGAGTCAGCTATGAGATAAAATAAAATGTGGGGATGAAAAGACATCCTTGTACGCGGACTTAATCGATAGACCACGGATCTTGTCGTCGGAGAATGGATGGATCTTTCGCTGTTGTACAGCCACATTACATATTCTGATCTGCAATAGACTTACATACAGCCTTCAGTTTCCACGATTTCTAAACGAACTTTGGTATCATCTCAGCAGTTTAATCATACATCAGTTTACTCACAATTCATATCCATTCCACTCTAATACGGCAATGTTATTCCTCCGTAACGTTTTCTGTTTCGGTAGGCTTCGATCCACAATGGGTTCAGTCTGTCTCTGATGATGTGCAGCAGAGACCTTTAGACCACGCTATACTTTGGTTTTAGTATTGAGATACTGGAACAGTATGATGTATCCGTTTTTATCTCCCCTTCTAGTATATACCTTTTTGTGCTGCCTTCCAGTTGACCCAACCTCCAAGATAGAAATAATTTTAGCGAATCGTGTGGCGTGGCTGGCTTTTTCCTGTAGTATGCAATAGAACCATGAGATTATGAACTGTGGAAAAAAGCAAGACCTGAATATGACGGGCCTGCATGCATCCTAGCTGACTCAGCTGTTACATCTGCCGGGGGTTGTCGGAAATACTTTCATCAATAGGTCTTTATATTTCTTAGCTAAAACGGGGGGCGAGGTGGATCAGTGGTCAGAGCGCGAATTTATTGACTGGGAGGTCCGTGGTTCGAACCTGACCTCAGCATCTTGACTTATCCTGTCTAGCCTTGGGCAACCTTGCAGTACCCCAGCCCTCATGCTTCCTTCTGGTGGCATGGCATTTGGGCACCGAAAGGGTGCTACAGTTGAACGACACGATTTTTTTTAATCTGAATCTCACAGAGCATCTTGCGTCGTCACGTCGAGTCGAAAGAGATTACGAAACGTTTGGGTGCTATCAGTACTACTCGCATTCCAGGATGAGGACTGCGTGAACCCCACCGTGCTTGGTTAGGGACGCTGTAAGATATTGCTGCTAATCGATTTCAGTGGCGTTCACGTTGTCAGTTTCTAAAGGTTGCCTAAATGAGTGCCTGGGAATGTGGGCACCTCGGAATGATTGTAGGAAGCTAGCACCAATTTCCTTCCCCATTTGCTTTTGTTTACCACAAGCCCTTCAACTAAATCATGGTTGTACGTGGGCGAAGTATCATTTTTTGGACACTGATGTCATGCTGTCGCTGATGATGACGCACATGTTGCACAGCTGTGAGAAACGACACGGGAATCACGTGAATCGCAGTACTTTGAGGCTGCCTCAATCAGTCGGTAGAAACGAGCCACATATCTTGCCACTCAAATCTTGAGCCGTCCTGAGTTTGGTAAGATCAGATCATTATTCAGTGCATCGATGGATTTTTACCATATCCCGTCAAGTTATCAAACAAGATAAATATTTTTCGGTCTGATTTTGGGCCATACTACTATCAGTGGGGTCAAGGTCAACCGAATTCCCAAGCTAGAGAGTACAGAAAGGTATCATATATATATATATATATATATGTATAATATGTATGTATGTATGTATATATGTATATATAACAAGTGTATTTAAGCTATCTACAGCTTCACAATACTGGCTACTTGGGTGAGGTCAACACAGAACTCCATTGGAATTCCGGAACCCCGCCTATTAGTTAGGTCTCAAGCTGGTCAAAACTAGCTGCTCATTTCGACCTACTACTACTGTAACGGTGATACTACTGATGGAGGAGGCATGCGAGTAGTATGTTTCCTCGTAAATCCGCTTTGCATCTTTTAAAGAGTGAGGTCTATTACAGAATTTGTGGAGTCGCTTTGTAGCATTCGCTTGGATTTGAGCAATATTCAGTGAATATTCAGACGCGTTCAAAGAGACGATGGATATTAAGTTTTTGTAAGTAAGATGCAAATGAGAGTTTTGCTTCCCTGTCCAATAGTCTGTAACCGTTCAACTGGCATTTTCTAGTAAATAACAGCGAAGCGAAGGCCTTCTTCCTTTCACTACGACTAATTATGAGTCACCGCCGAAAAATGATGAATGTATTCCATTGGTTCGCTTGTATCATAGGGTGGTGCTGGATTCGTGCTCCGATCGCCCCTGTCCCCTAGTTTGAAAGGAATGGTCCCACTTGTCGGACAGGTGCCGATTATGTTCAACCAACTTTACAACTTGGTGGTTCCGAAAGATTATCCTGGGCCTATCCATACTCTCGCCACGAGAGTCACTGGTTCGCCCATTCGTGAATAATAAACAATATTTTTAGTAACACCGTTCAATCTGCATGACTGACTTGTTATTTACAGGTCTTGGATAAACAAAATTTGCAATATACCCCCGCCGTTTGTTTCAATAAAGAACATGTTTTCTTCACAAATTTTCTAAATTGTACGGACATAACTGATGCTATCTTTGAACAACCTTGTTGCTAGACATGCCAGAGTAAACTGAGTAGTTCTTTGCCTATTCTTCCATGACCTCTGTAAGGGGGGCGTGGAAAAACAATGAGTCAGTAATCTGTTTTGAATTTCATGGTAGGCAAAACAACGAAGAAGACGGGAAAATTTAACCAGTCGAAATGTCTACGTCCAGATCTAGTACACTACTCATAAGGTTGCTGAAAACTCTGATAGACCATGACCGGTTTCAGCCATCATAAACTAGGGGTTCTGGTGGATTCGGTTAAGTTTTCACTGTCAAATTCAAATTCGTGCGTAAATGAGTATTTGGCGAATATTTACATCCAGTTTACTAAAGTCTGAAGACTGCTGGTGCGTCACGGTACGATTAGAATGTCAGGTCACATCGTTTATGCATTACGACGGCCAAGTGCCGTTCATGCGATAACAATCGAATAGACAATCACAATGTGACAACGAGGCATCTCGAGTTGCATCCGGTGTAACAGGTATGGTACTTCTCCGAACACCTCGTGTCCATCTTACACAAGGGGACATCGCATACGGACGACTTTTTGGAGTGCTATTTTCAGCTAGTAACCTGAAGTTGTTCGTCTTTTTCACGTTGAGATTTTAGTTCCGCGTCTTTCTGCGCTCAGCACTTTCAGGCGGAACTGCTTTGGGGGTAAACCACAGGTTTTCGTCCAATCCGGAGCCCATCATTAACAGATGACACTTTTTACCAAAATATTTATCCCCACGTTGCCCAACAGAGATTCCCAAAAACAAGAACTTCTGAGCATAAAGAGAAGGTAGTCAAAATTCATAAGCGTGGTCGACTAGTATCGTGAAGTAACAAGCGGTCACGCAGTCCTTTGTGAGCGAGTGCCCTTAGATTTAGCGGGTGTGCAACAAAGAAACGGCCAATTAGACAATACATCGAATAATGAAGAAAATGATTAGAGCACTTATGACAAAGATCAGAACTATTCTTTCAGATAGCGTCTTACAAACAGGAATTAGTTGGGGGCGCTTCTTCCACCACGTTCTACGTGAGAAATGTACTCAGTGTCACTGGATCCTGATTATTTTTCGATCAGATTTGTTTTCCTTGACTTCTTGTAAACTCTAGGATGGTTTACCAAACCTCACTGAAACGGGGCATTCACAGTTGTCGAACGGTACTGCTTGTCCTTTTAGTGATACAATGCCATCTAGCATTCTGTTTTCCACTCCTACTTGACAGTGTGTTTCATTTCCTTGGATGATCCCGACTTTGAGGCCGCCTCGAATGTTTTCGACTGTTCTTCCGCTAGCATTCATTTCCACGTCTATCCACCATCCCGAATACGATCATAATTTAGGTTTATCGTGCTCGTTTAGTCCGTCATGTTTGATATCAAGCTCTCACTCAGTTTTTCGCGCCCAGTGTGAGTTGGATTCACATCGTGTCTGAATAAACAGAACAGACATCATACAGTAACAATCGTAATAAGCTATCTTCGTATCCAACTCCATCCTTGGTCAGGCTCGATAGACGAGGGTGGGTTGGATGACAACAGCTAGACTGCGTAGATCTGATTGCGAATCGTTGGCCCAACAGGATAGAACTTGGTCGAGCACAAAGGTTCTCTTCTCTCGTCACAGTTTGAAACTTATGATTCGTCTATT